CAACATCACATGGAAAGGTCTAGGAAATGTAAAGGCATCTCAACCCTTAACATGAAACACTGTTTGTATATAATAGCAAAATACTATCCAACCGGCTTTCTAGCGGTTTTGTGAATAATGTTGCCAATTACCTTCTCATTTACAGATAAAAAACACCTTTCAAAATATATAAAAAATTTTGTTCAATACTGGTCGTCTCTGTGAAGGCAAATGCAAGCCCCCGAATGCTTTTCTGTTTGCGCCAGTTACGGCTAAATATTACACAGGCCAACAAAAATGGTGCGGCAAATATCAAATTCCTTTAAAAAAGGGCTAAAAAGAGCTAAAAAAAGTCGTTGTGGCTAAAAATGGTAGCTAAATTTTTTTTACTTACATATGCATATATAAGTATACACTCAAACAGTTTCAATAAGTAGTGGTATAGAAAAACAATGAACTCTGGAAAAAAGTTAACGTTTTATCCAACCAAAAACCTTTTTGTATAAAAGGGAAAATATACGCCACCAGCTTGCTGGCTCCATCAAGTGATTGTACCAGGCTCGAAGCATATAACTTACCAGCATGCTGGTACAATATTTATTTCTTTACAAATGAGGTCCAGGAAAGATCGAAATGATTAGAGACGAAATTTCATAACTTTTCTACCATTTTGTTAAATACAATAAAGTCACAACTGCAATATCGTGTACTTAATTTTTCACAAACACAGCTTTGACTCATATAGTGCCATTTCCGCCAAAATACTTTTTACTTGGAAAAACGAGCTAATTTCACCACTCACGACACCAGCATGCTGGTACAATCATAAAATGTTCAAATAGTTTTTGACTTCGCACCAGCAGCTGGTATAATCACACCACAAGTACATACACGGTCAGTCGACTTGATGGGCCATTTAACAAATTAAGCGTATATAAAAACGTAAGGAACATACTCTACATATACATATGTATATATGTATATCAGTCTTTCTTAAGCTCAGACCACACGATTGCCTCAAATGCACCAATCTGGAACAATTTTTATTCTGCTGTATTGGAGCACAATAAAAATAATTTCCCAATGAAATTCTGTACAGTCACACGGTTGCCTCTTTTATATAATTCTGATTGCCGCAAGTTCGCGAAAAGCCAAACTTATCACACGATTGTTCGCGCATGCGGCAATTGTGACCATAAGGTGTTGCGCTGTCTTCTGACTCTATTTTTTTTTCTCTGTTGTGTAAAAATGGCGTATTCCTAATAAAAAAAATAAAACAATTGCATCTGCTTTGTATATTGCGGGCTCATTATGTGCAAATTTGTTGTTGTTTGAAAGCAAAGCAGCAAAAACTTGTGTCCAATGAAAACTCACGTATATATTTGAAGTTTGAGTGTATAGTTTTTTATTTTTCGACGATAACTGCAACGTTCTATGTGAAGTTCAAGTTGCAACAGTTTTGTTTTTAATATTATTATTGTTGTTGAAATCTTATAATTATACTAGCAGAGCATCCGACGTTGTTCGGGGGAAAACAAATCATAATATAAAACAGTAGTACAAATATTCAGTTCAGCATTAATTAAAGGAGACGAACTATTTTCTTTCTGTTTAAATTAAGGCATCCTTATGAACCATACTTTTAGCTTCATCGTGCTTCAACTACTATATATTTGTGATTATATTCTGTACTACAAATCTGGTTTCATTATTAATAATAGGTGGATTAAGGTAACGATAGAATTTTTAAATTAAAATAAGTGTACTACGGTACATTCCGTTTATCTGCCTATTCGCTTAACTGTTTTAGTATAGCTCCACTTTTCCGGTAGAATGTTTATTTCGGAAGGAGATTTGTTCATTATGAATGAACATTTTTCGCTTAACAGCATCGCGGGATAAAAAAAAAAACGTTTTAATCTTCGAAATGGTATAAAGACTGTGAGACAGCGTTTTAAATATTCGAGTGATATACATAATTGATGAATACATACAACATACATCCCCCTTTTACAAACTCATTTATATATACTTTACTCTAAACAACTCCCATATATATGTATGTCTGCATACCGAATTTCAAGTTCATGTGAATTATGGTTCCCAATTTATGGCTGACTAAAAATTCGACGCATATGCTCCACGTTCCCCATTTACATACTCATGCATACAAACCTTACCAAAATTCATCATATTTCACGCCTGTGGGATGTGCGACGCCCCTTTCAAAAACTCATTTATATATACCTTACTATAAGCATCTACCGTAGATACATAACAATTTTTTTTCCAGAAATCCAAATTAAAAACCGTGGGATTGTGTTCAAAAGTTTAAGAAATGTTTATAATTTTTGTATGAAGCTTGGAATTTGGATGTATGCAGTTTTTGTTAGACAATAAGCTATACTTTTATACAAAAATAATGAAGATTAAATAAGTGGAAGAAAAATAGTCAAGACTGGTCAAAATGTTGAGGTTCTACCGTTTTGTCGTGGGCTGTATTGAACTTTTAAGTTTTTTTTTTTTAAATAAATTTATACTGCCATGGTAGTTCGCCTATTGTGTCTTGCCCGAGACAACCTGTAATTAAATATACGTTGTCCTGCAGTGAAGTTTCGACCTGGGTAAGGTTTCATAACTTTTGCTTTTGCCGTTTTCGGTAAAAATATGTTGTAGATTCAGATTCCTCGCACTCAAAATCCCAAAAAGGTCTTTTGATCATAACAATACTCCAATTTAAATTAATTGCAGTTACATTGAATTTGAAAAAAACATTTAAAATCGCCAGCCTGGGAAAATTGAGAAAATACATTTATATATAAAATCTATGCTTTCACAAAATCTTAGGCTAAACTATTCCCCAGAAAAAAACTGAAAACTCTTACAGTGTAAGCTATAAAAGTCAAATTGTTCAATTCATTTCTTGTAATTCATGTTATTAAATTAAATTATTATATGTACATATATTCACATAATACAAAACTAATTGTCGTAGTCTGCTTCCAAAGAAGCTTCCATTGCAGTTTTTACAAGATCTATGTGCAGTTTTTTAGCAGCCTTTCTGTTTGTTTTTGCAATTTCACGCATTTGTGATGCCAAATACATACCGATCGTATGCCTATTGTCTTCTTCTGCCTCTAGGTACTTGACTGCACGCTCCAGTATGTCGGTTTGTTGTAGTTTTCCTTTTTCATGAGTGGAAGAAGTTAGCGAAGTGCTGCAGCCTGGCTGTGTTTCGTGGGCATCTAATGTTGACAATGAGTATGTACTTTTTGTTAAGTCATGTCGATTATAAAATTGCATAGCGCTCCAGTGTGGCCAATGTGGTTGGGTGTTCTCTGCCCCCTGACCAGACTTTGTCTGTATTTTATTCTTTATATTTGGGAATGCCGTTTTTACATTGGCCCATTTCCCTTTGCAGTCTTCCTCTGTATATGCGAGAAATTTTTTTTAATTTCGCGCCACGCTTGGTCTCTTTTGGTCCGATCTTTGTAGTCTGAGGACGAATATTGCCAAATACTGGGTGCGCCTCTACAGCTAGTATCAAGTCATTAATGGCAATATAAGCCCACAATGAAGTAACACTCGGCTTCTTCCTTTTTTTGATGCACTTAGGATGCACTTGAAAATTCGGAGCTCACTGCATTTTCCATCGCAGCCAAGATTTCGTCGTCGGACTCCATGTTAAAGCTTAAAAAATAATTATGATTAGAATGTACATTAAATTAAAAGGTAGGTTACTTACGAAAGCAAGGATGTAGTTTTTGGACACTTAATGAGGAAAATATATAAATTAGTTAAAAAAATGTAAATGTTGTTGTGTATTGTTCAATTCAATTGCCGCACAAGAACACAATAAAAATTGCCGCATTTTTGAAATTTTTATTGACACATCATTGTCAATCGACCTATCACACGATTGCCGCACACGGGCCGTATTTGATTGGGTACAGTAAGCACAATATCGGCCTCTATTGCCGCATGAGTTAATTTATTGTGAAATCACACGATTGGGGCATAAAATGAGGCAATAATTGGTGTATTGCGGCAATCGTGGGATCCCAGCTTTAGTTTAAAAATTCATCACTTACATAAATGAAAGAAAAATGAGCTAAAATTAAGCATATACCACTTTTTCATGCCAAGTATGAATAAATTCTCCAAAGGGCTAAAAAAGGCCTAGGGACAATTTTAAATTTATGTGGCCAAAAAAAGTATGTGGTAGCTAAATCTAACCACCAAAGGGCTAAAAGGGCAACACTGACTCATAGTGGTGAACAAAAACGAGTTAACGATCTTGCTTGCGCATGTGCTCGTAAATAAGATAGCAGAACGCTGCTACTAAGCTCAGTCCAGGTAGTAGGTCTGGGTAACTCACTGAATTTTAGCGAGTTAACTCAATGACTCAAGCTCATTTCAATGAGTCAGCTCAGTGAGGTGGCACAATTGAGCTATGACACTCTGCTGCCGAGTAGAGTTAGGACTTTTAGTTCATTTTGGTGATCGATCAATCTAGTTCAAATCGCCTAAGTGAACTAGGTCATTTTGGTCATTCTCGTTAATTTTAGCTCATAATTTAAAATAATGTATTCGACTTTTTTATCAAAAAGAATACCAATATTTGATTTTGAATAACATTTCAAGATATCATAAATATTAGTTTTCTTATAAGCAATTGAGATCATAGATATACAGCCAAATTCTAAATACTTACTCCCGGGGAGTCTGTTCTCCGGGAATTTGTTTCTCCCGAGAAAGAAATCCTCCAATAATTAACTCCCAGGGAGTAGCATTTTCGTCGAAAATTTGGAAGGAGGAAATTCGAGCTTCGAAAGAGCTGTTAGACACTTTTTTGACAGCTCAACTCTGCCATTTAAAGTAAAAAATCCTCAGTGAATTTTTATTTATGATAGGGATAGGGTAAAGGGAATGCCACATCATACTAAAGCCAGCCTTTTGAAATAAGCTACTATTCCATATGAACACAGATATGTAGTATATACTTTTTTTTGCATTTGCAGGACGGATTCACGCCACTAGCTGTTGCCATGCAACAGGGCCACGACAAAGTCGTCGCGGTGCTTTTGGAATGCGATGTTCGAGGTAAAGTTCGTCTCCCAGCGTTGCATATTGCGGCTAAGAAAAACGATGTTAACGCGGCTACATTGCTGCTACAAAGCGAAACCAGTCCCGACATTGTATCCAAGTCTGGCTTCACGCCCCTGCATATTGCAGCACATTACGGCAACGTTGATATTGCTAAGTTACTGATTGAGCATGGAGCGGATGTAAACTTTACCGCAAAACATAATATAACACCACTGCACGTTGCCTGCAAATGGGGCAAAACTAATATTCTGGAGCTGTTGCTGTCAAAAAATGCAAACATAAATTCTACTACGCGTGATGGTCTCACACCGCTTCACTGCGCCGCACGATCGGGTCACGTGGAAGTAATCGAAAAATTACTTGCGTATAAGTCCCCTATACTTTCGAAGACTAAGAATGGTCTCGCTCCGCTTCATATGGCTGCGCAGGGCGAGCATGACGAAGCAGCACAGTTATTGTTAGCACATAAGGCGCCCGTCGATGAGGTTACTGTCGACTATCTAACAGCGCTGCATGTTGCAGCACATTGCGGGCATGTGCGCGTCGCCAAGCTGCTGCTAAATTACAATGCAGATCCAAATGCCCGCGCCCTAAATGGGTTTACGCCCTTGCATATCGCCTGTAAAAAGAACCGCATTAATGTGGTTGAGCTGTTACTAAAACATGGAGCCAGCATAAGTGCCACAACAGAGTCTGGTTTAACCCCATTGCATGTCGCTAGTTTCATGGGCTGCATGAATATCGTTATATATCTGTTGCAACACGATGCTATCCCCGACGCACCCACCGTTCGTGGAGAGACGCCACTGCATTTGGCGGCCAGAGCAAACCAAACTGACATTATACGAATTTTATTACGAAATGGAGCCCAAGTGGAGGCGCGTGCCCGGGAAGGCCAAACCCCACTGCATGTTGCGTCAAGGCTTGGTAATATCGACATAATTATGCTGATGTTGCAACATGGCGCTAATGTCAATACTACAACTAAAGACATGTATACACCCTTGCATATCGCAGCTAAGGAGGGACAAGAAGAGGTGGTACAGCTGCTTACAGAAAATAATGCGCAATTAGATACGGTCACCAAGAAGGGCTTTACACCCTTGCATCTGGCAGCTAAATATGGCAAAGACAAAGTTGTGGCTTTGCTATTGCAAAGAGGTGCTAAGATCGATTGCCAAGGCAAGAACGATGTTACGCCGCTACATGTTGCAGCGCACTTTGATCACCAAAAGGTCGTCTTTTTACTACTTGAGCATGGCGCTTCTCCGCTACTTTGTGCAAAAAATGGCCACAGCGCATTACACATTGCTGCCAAGAAAAATGAAATGGAAATTGTCCAGCAACTTTTACAGTACGGCGCTGATCCTGACGTACGAAGCAAGTCCGGCTTTTCACCCTTGCACTTAGCCGCACAGGAAGGGCACGTTGACATGACGAATTTATTGTTGGAGCATGGCGTTGACGCAAATGTGCAAGCTAAGAACGGTTTGACGCCACTGCATCTGTGTGCCCAAGAAGATAAAACTGCAATTGCTCGAATATTGCTCGATCATCAGGCTAACATATCCGAGCGCACCAAAGCTGGCTACACGCCTTTACATATAGCTGCGCACTATGGCCAAATAAATATGGTAAAGTTTTTGCTAGAAAATGATGCTAATATCGAAATGAGTACAAATGTCGGCTATACACCGTTGCATCAAGCCGCTCAACAAGGGCATACAATGGTTATAAATCTATTGTTGCGGCACAAGGCAAATCCGAATGCCGTTACGGATGTAAGTATAACCTCTAACTAATCTTCTGAAAACTTTCTATATTTCTTTGTCACGTGGAGAATGCTTGCTTTTTTTTCTCCAGTAATTTATTTTCTTCGAGAAATGTCCGGAGAAATTTGTTTTTATTTTCCTCTTCAAAAAATTACGTTATTTATTTAAATATCTAGGTTCGTTAGATTAAAATACAGCCTTGTTTTTCTAGCACTTCGCTATTTTTTTTATCGATGACTTACATATTTTTGAATTTTTAACAATTTTTGTGGAAAGACAAAAATTAATCAAACTATAATCAAACTTTTACGTAAAAAACAAACAGTATTAGTCAAAAATATCCCCAAAGAGACTAAATAAATCAGAAAGGCATTTGTAAGGTCGAAGTTACCGCTGTTGCATATAAATTCCCCAACGAGTTTTTGGGGAGTGATGCTAGAGTGACAGTCCTTAGCCAGATATAAATCTTTGTCGTTCCGGTTACATATACCTGATTAGTTATACGCGGGAACATTAAGAAAAATTAAAAAAGTCAGTTTTAACATTTTTCATGAAAACCCCAAAATTGATTACTTAAAAAAGCAATTAATTATTATTATTAGTTAAAAAGCTCCTAAAAACTAAGTAAATCAGAAATTCTTGAAAATGCAAAGTTAACGTCAGCAATACGCGGTAATACTAAGAAAAATAAAAAAGTAATTTCCTTATAAAATTTACCTGATGGAATGTTTTCGTAGCTTTGTACTAATACCTACTCGAATTGCGTATTTGTTTTTCAAAGGAAAAACATGCATATTTAAGATTTTTTTTTTTAAATTTCATGTTAACTCGTGTACTTAGTTTAAATAAAATGTTTTTTCAAAAAGCTAGAGTTTTAGTTAATAATAAGTTATCTCCACGGTAACACTAAGAAAAAAACGTAATTTTTTGGGAAAAATTATTATGTTTTGCGTAGCTTAGTACCTAATACTTACCCAAATTGCTTATTAGTTTTCAAAAAAGAAAACCATCCTAAGCCTGTTTAATAAAAGATAATAATCACCTGCATTTTTTTATTTTTTTTTAACTTTCATGAAAAAAAATAAAATTTATTTATTTTGAATAAAATTGTTGGCTAAAAACCAACAGTTTTAGTTAAAAAGAGCCCTAAAGACCAAGTATATCAGGAAAACTTATGGAAATTCGAAGTTAGCCTTATTAATACGCAGTAACGTTAACGAAAATAAAAAAACGAATTTTCTCGGCAAATTTACGTGATGGAATTTTTGTATTATTTTTTTCGTAGCTTTCTACCTAACACCTACCCAAATTGCTTATTAATTTTTTAAGGGAGAAACCTTCGCAGACCTGTGCTATCGGTCCCAATCAGCGTTACCATTTTAGTTTTTTTCGCTAGATTTGGATTTTCTATTTGGGTTTAGCGGGGAAAATTTTTAAAATTTTTTAAATACAAAACGTAAATAAAGGAAAGGCAATAAAGAAAAGAATAAACATAACAAATAAATAAAATTCGAACTAGAAAATAAAATTAAGATATAAAAATGTACCTATCTAAATAAATTTAAAAAAACCTCAAATATCAAATAAAATAAAATTTAATAAAATAAAGGAAAAAAATAATTAAAAAAATACGACAGACTTATGGCTCTATTCTGTGTCAATGACAAATTCTTGTCACAATTTTTTTTACGGAAAAATATATAAAAAAGTTTAAATTTGTCAGTAAACAATTTCGTCTCCAATATCATAAAAAGGATCATCGAAATACGTCAACATAGTCAGAGCCATACCTAAATAAGCGCGTCAAGCGTTGGGCCTGTCGGCCTCTCTTCTTCTAGCGTATATAAATTTAATGCGTCAGAGAGAGATAAAGATACAAGCGAAACGCTCAACGCGCTAATTTAGGTACGGCTGTCAGCACGCGTATCGTTTAAGAGTTCTTAATAAATTAAAGAATACCTTCAATGATGCAATCATCAGAACTCAAATTCATATGCAATCGTAAGTGATCGTAATGTATGTATTTTAACGTATGCGGAATGAAATGTGGACAATTTCTAAGCAGACTTTAAAAAATTGTGGTAAACACACGAGTCAAAATCTACTGCGTAATCTTAACAAGCATTCCACTAAAAATAATCTCGTTGTATATTATAATGCTGAAATAATTTCCTTGAAACGAACGAACTCTGAAGATTTGGTTGTAAATTTTGTATACCGAAACTCAATGTCACGAAACGTAACGTGCTTTTTAATTTATTCTCTATGAGACTTAAAAAAAACTTTATGTACAAAGGAAATGACGGCTTTATAGAATAGGAAAACAGTAAAAGGAAAACTCACGAGTGCGAAAAAGCATGTTTAACATTGCAGCGAAATGAGACCGTAACAAGAATCATAAACTGCGGATTAGGGAAATATTTTTCATTGGCGAACCATAAATGGACATCTAAATTTAACTCTGAACTGTTTATCGTCTAAATAGTTAACAAATAATAACTCATATTGGCACAATAAAGTTCCAAAATAATATTTTTAAAAAATCCCTCGTTATAGACATGAGTCTTTTCTATAAAAGTTTATCTTGGAAATTTCGACAATATCTATGTGAATGGAAAAACAATATTTGTTGCATCCGAAAGTATAACTGTTTCTTTTTACTGCATCAGTTCGTATCTCATTCCGCATACTTTAGATCACTAAACGAATGGTTTCGTTTTGTGTTGTGAGCACTAACTTTATGTTTCCTTTGTTTCCCTATTTCTCTGCATTCAGTTGTTTTGTTCGAGTTAGTTATCGCGAACGCTAGCGGAGTAAAGTTATCGCTTGGAAAATGTTTCCGAGTGATTTGAATCGGTTATGTTTCGTTACCTTTTATGAGCGATACTAGAAAAAAACCCAAACGTTAGCTATTGTTTGTTTGCGTTCTCTTATTTAGACTAAAAGCATGTTCACATTATCGTAATTCACGGCGCATTCGTACCTTATAAGCAGTGTTGCCATTTTAGCCGTTTTCCTGCTAGATTTAGCCGGTTGCTATAGCAAACAGCCGGAGAAATTTCGGTTTAGCCGGCAGCCGATTTGTTAGCCGTTTTGCAAAAAAAAATTGCCGTTTTTGACCGATTTTGCTATTTGCCTTGTTTTCTTAAAATTCAAATACATATATATGTTTCCAGTTTTGACTAAGCGACCCAAAATCTGTTAGAAATGGCTACTAGCCTTATCGCGGAGAAAGTTTTCATGTCAGGCAGGGTTATATAAAATTGGGCCGATTTCGATTATTTTTATTTGAAACGAATATATTTTTCTAAAGAAGACCGTAGCGGGGAATTTCTTCATAAAATGTTTGTTATGACTGTCTTAAATTTAAGTGTGAAATTTTATACGCAAACTTAGAAAATAACAAATTGTTTCACTGTTTGCTTAACACGCGTTTGTGTTTGGATATAGTGCCAATACATGGAATAAATATTACAGGTATTCTCTTCCCAGAGAGCGCATATTCAATTCTGCCTTAATTACAAAACATCATTGTTGCCCCCGCTTAAAGCTTTAAAGTAAGGGAAAAATTGATATTTTCAAGTACACATATGTATTTTTTTAAACAAACTTTTTTTGCTGAGAACTCATTTAAATTCCAAAAACCGAAGGCCAACTTGAGTTAAAAGAACCAACACTGAAATGCGTGAAAATGAAAATAAAAGAGCACAAATTTCGATGTAAAGTAAAACTCTGGGAAGACAGTAGGTTTGTTCGTCCTAAATCTAGTGAGAATTATCACTCAAAATAATAGATGGTAGCAAACTTGCAAATTTCCGACGAACGCAAATTTGCAGGAATTTGCCAGTTTCTCCTGCCAGCTAGCGTCCACGGTTCCATTTGAAGCGTAAGAAATTTGTAAAGAATTTTAAAGCTCTTTCAGATGGGCAAAAAACAGGATCTACAAGTATATTTCTTGTTAGTCCGACTTTCTTCATCATACGTTTCAATTTCTTTGTCGTAGTATCTGTCGGGTTTCTAAGTCGACTCTGGTTGAAATTGCATTCCCATTACGAATACAGTTTTTTGTCAGCAGAGTACCTTTCATATCATTGGCGCGTATTCATAGTCCAGCAACTAAGTCGAAACTAACAAAGTTGCAACTTAAATTTAAGTACCAACTTAAAATTTCCCTCTATTCAATGTCGCATTTCAGACTTCTACTAAGTAGCTTCGACTTAGTTTACGATATAGCAAAATGAGTGTGAAAATGTATCGATTTTTCTTTACGATATTTTGGAAAAATTACATTTTTATTAAATAATGTCAAGTTTGATCATCCGTTTATGTAATTTTTATTTTCATTGCATGATTATGTAAAAGAATAAGGTATCATTTTCTTGTTAATTGTGTGAAATAGCCAGCACAACCGCAGTGATGTGAAGTCGATGTTTATCGAAAGCATGCTGTGAAACATACAAATAGTAGATATCTAAATGTTATGCACAAATTTACTTTAAAAGGACTAGCGTGAAACTGACTTATTCAGCCCTATTCTGCATTTCGACTCGAATCGAAATTTTCTCCGTTTGGCAACTTTGGTATTCTGCGTTCCGTTTCCTTTCGATCAATCTTCGAAATTTACGATTATACCTATTCTACATTCCGATCGTAGTTCCGTTTTTCTAAGTTGCAAATTTGTTGACGCAGGACGTTTCGATTGTTATTTTCGTAGGTTTAAATAATAAAATTTTATAAAAAATTTAAGAAAAATATACTGTGCATGATTGTAAAAGGTATCATAAATGAATTTTCTCGATTTCTGTGTTTTCGCGAGCGGTAATACGGGCAACACGAAAAATTGGCTCAAATAATGGCAACCAGAAGGGATATTGCGCGACGTTTTCAAAGTGGAAGTCCAGGCGTTTTTGTTTACATTATCTATAAATAAGACTGTGAAATGCACTGAATACAATTTATTCTTTTTATATAAAATTAATAGATGTATGCACATAGATACATACATACAT